CAGATCATTTTCCATTCCAGCGCCACTGTAACTGGCCAGCATCCGAATACCATTATTGCTACAGGGTCATCGACTTCCGCTCGCCATACAGCGATTGGTTACGGGAGTATGTGACTGCCGAAACGAGTGCTATTCAAATTTTTACGAATCTCTGGATCTGCTTTTGCGCCTTTGCCCTCTTCTTTTTTTCACTGAAATCTGCTTTTACAACTGAAATTATGCCGAGTCTACTGTCCCCAGAATGATTTTTGACGCACCACTGTACAATAAATTTTGGAGAAATAAAAAGAACAAAAAAGTGCCAACTTGTTCAGATCGTTAGCCAAGAAAACTATGGTTGGCGAAGAAGACCTGTACTGGTAAAAAAAAATGAAACGTGTAGTGCACTTGCATGTTTCTGTAGGAATGCAAACAGGCGTTAATCATTTTTTAGGCTTATACTACTTGTTTCAGAATTTTCCGATGAAAAACAGCTGCGTAGACCTTTGCCCTCCAACAATTTTTTTCAGAGAGAAACGCACTTTTGACATAAGCTACGGCGAGTGAATGAGCAAGTGCATACATAAATGCTCGTCGTAATATTTTTTTTTTTGCGCACACGACCGGAATGCAAAGCTAAAGTTAAAATTTCAATTTTTTTCTTAAATTTTTTTTAAAGCTTCAAATTCTTGTTCAGCGCTTCAACAATATCGGGAGCAAATGGGGATGACAGTCAGTACAATTTTTCTCGGGAAGGAGTCAGAATGGCTAAACAAGCTTTTGAGCTTTTGAGAAACACGATTGGACAACTTGTCTTGCACTGATTGTGAAAAGCACAACGCATGCAAAAAGTGTGAAGGAAATTTGGAAAGTTTAACAATATTTCAAAAGCCGCGAATTATTTTTGTATTTTTCAAATTCTTGCAAACTTTTCCAGATTTCTTTCGAAATCAGCAAATTTTTCAAGTTTTTTTTCAGGACTTTATCAGTTTTTGAATCAACATACGCGAAGAGTTGCATTTACTAGATTACATTTTTCGCTTATCAAATTGTTAATTACTTGATCAATATAGTGCAAATATTGTCAAAGACCACATCGAAACGATCAACTAGTTTTTTAAGGAATATCAACCGCAATTATTTTATTTGTTTGACATTCATCAAAAAAAAAGTAAAAGATTTAAAAGTCGAAGGAATAGGGATGAAGGAGCAAGGGAGGGGGAAGGAGGAGGTGCAGGTATTTTCAGCAATTAATTACAACCCAATTTTTCAGCT